CACCATGAATACTATTCAGCCAAAAAAAAATGTCCTATTTGTGACAACATTGATGAGCTTAGAAGGTGTTATGTTAAGTGAAATAAGCCAGGCACAGGAAGACAAATACAGTGCTGCATGGCCTCACTTTGTAAATGAGAGTGTAAAAAAGTTGAACTCATAGAAGTGGAGAGAAGAGTGGTAGTTAGCAGGAGCTGGAAGGAGATTTTTAAAAAAGGAAAAAGTTTCCTTAATCTTATAAAAAGCATCTGTAAAGAGTCTGCAGCTAGAATCATATTTAACTAATGATGAAATACTGAATACTTTTTCCTTAAGATCGAGAACTTGGCAAAGATATCTGCTCTCACCACTTCTCTTCAGTACTGGAATAGAAGTCCTAGCAATTACAATAAAACAAAAGGGGAGGAAACCTTTTTCAAACAGGAAGGAAATAAAATTCACTTCCTTTGTTGTGATAGGATAGTCATTGTAGAAATTAATCTATTAAAAAGCTTCTAGAACTAAAAAGTGATTTTAGCAAGATACAGATCAGTTTTTTAGAAAATCACTGTATTTCTATACACTAACATGTACAATTAGAAACCAAAGTTTCTAATTGTATAAGAATTATTGTAACAATTCAAAAGGAGGAAAAAAAAAGCCTACCTAATATGAATCTAACAAGTAATGTGTAGGCTGTGTTGACTGAAAACTACAAAGTACTGCTGAAAGAAATCAAAAACCAAAAATAAATGAGAAATGTGAAACATACTGTGTTCCTGGCCTGGAAGATCCATACAGTTAAGGTGTCTGTTGTCCCCAGATAATCCAGTAGACTTAATGCAAGCCCAGTCAAAAATCTCAACTAGATTCATTGTAGATATAGATAAACTGACTCCAAAATTTATATGGAAAGGTGAAAGTAAAATAGTCAAGCAGTTTTGACAAGGGAATAATGTTGGAGGACTCACAATATTTGAGTTTAAGACATAAAGCTAAAGATAGTACAGGTAGGTGAAAGAACAGGTACATAGATCTATTGAACAGAATAGGTAGTCAGCTGGGCAAAGACAATTTAATGGAAAAAGGATAGTCTTTTCAACAAACAATGCTAGGCCAACATAGACGTCATCCTCATACCAAAAAAAAATTCCTCTTATGAAAAATTAACTTAGAATTGATAACGGACCTAACTGGAAAAGAAAAAAGCAAAAAACTTCTTAAGACTAAACATAGGAGAACCTTCATAGCCTAGAGTTAGAGTTCTTACAGCATCAAAAGCACTCCGCATTTTAAAAGAAAAGATAAATTGGTCTTCATCAGATTAAAAATTTTGTTCTGTGAATCATAAAAAAGGTATACAGATGGTAAATAACCACATGAGAAAGGTGCCCAACATCATTAGTCATTAGGGAATGCGAATTAGAACAACAAAATGCCATTGTGTATCTTTAGTGTGCCTAAGTTAAAGTAGTAATAATACCAGTTGTTTACGAGGATGTAGATCAATTGACATTCTCAAACACTGCTGGTAGGATTGCAAAATGATACAACCGCTTTAGAAAAATGTTTGACACTTTTTTAAAAAGTTATATATACACCTACCATTTCACCCAGTATTTGTTCTAGAGAAATAAAGTTCACATAGAAATCTGTGCACAAATGTTTGTAGTGGTGTTGCTAATGATCACCAAAATCTTTTTCTTTTTTGGGGGGAGAGTGGTGCTGAAGGTTACACTCAGAGTCTTGCACTTGCTAGGCAAGTATTCTACCACTTGAGCCTGCTTCTAGCTCTTTTTGCTTTAGTTATTTTTCAGTAGGATCTCAGGTTTTTGGTTGAGGCTTCAGACAGTAATCCTCCTACCTATGGCCTCCTGTATAGCAGGGATTACAGGTGTGCCACCAGGTTTATTTGTTGAGATAGGATCTCACTAACTTTCTGCCCAGAGTAGCCTCAGTGATTCTCCTGATCTCCATCTTCCAAGCAGTCACCCATATCTTGAAAGAACCCAAATGTCCTTGATTTGGTAAATTAGTTGTTGGATAAACTAATTGTTTTATATCCCTCTATGGAATACTGTTAAGCAATTAATAAAGGAATAGGACTGGAGGTATGTTTCAGGCAGTACAGCACTTGCTTTGTAAGCATGAAACCCATGAGTTCAAACCCTAGTCCCACCCAAAAAATAAATAAATAGACTTTGTACCTGCAACAAAGTGAATGAACATCAAATGTAGTATGCTATGCTAAGAGAAAAAAACATTCTCATGATTACATATTGCATGATTACATGCACATGACATTATAGGACAGATAACAAATCAGTGATTTCCAGAGGTTAGGGGGAAAGGAAGGTCTGATTTTATAAGAATGTTGGAATTGTTCTTAGCTGGTTTGTAGAGATGGTAACAAGATGCCATACGTATGTTAAAACTTACAGAACTAGAGTCTAAAACAGTGACTTATCTACTGTATAAATTTTTTAAAAACAATAAAAGTACTTCTTACATACATTTGTCAAAGTTTGTTCATACACTTAACATTTGTACATTTCACTGTGTCTAAATTTTGCCTTGACTAAAAACAAAGAATTGTAAACAAAACAGAAAAAGTATTTGGAGGATGGAAAAGAAACAGGTATTTTTATTTTTAAAAACTGTACCCTAAAGAATGAAGATTGTACTTATTATGGTGTCTTTTCAGTAGATTACCATGTTGTTTGGGGTTTTGTTTGTTTGTTTGCATGTTTCTTTTTGACAATTTATTTTGTCTCCCTTGCCTTTGCCTTTTTGCTCAGAATTCTTTCATCTGTTGACCAGGGAGGAAAAATCAAATTAAGGAAGAATCTGTCTTGAGTCTTCTCTGTGAATTTGTCACATTTAAGATTTAATCATTCATAAATTATTTGTTGACTAACAGATACAATTCACATCGTGTTAGCTGTGAAACATTACAGATCATTTGTGGTTCTATGGGTTGAATAGATACATTTCAGCACTTTGCTGTGGGGTGGCAGTACATGATGTCAGATTAAATTTAAATTGATCTCTTCTCAGTGTTTATCTCTGGTGTATGTGCAATTACTTGAGCACCAGAGAACCTTTCAGAAACATTCTGTCAATACAGCTACCTGACAGTCATTTGTATTTGTAAACTGTGCATTTGGCACCTGCTGGTCTCTGTTGCATTGGAGCTAGTGGGGAGCCAAAAATGGGTGTACAATGAAGTTATTGGTTGGTACATCTCAGTGGGAATTATTGAAGGAAAGAAACAGCACTTCCAGGACCTCAGAAAAGGGTAAAAAGAAAAAGAAACTGGTAATATTAACACAAGCCAACAATTCTTCGCTACCAAAAAATGATTTAGAAAGTCATTTCATTCTACCCAAAGAATTAATATGTATGAACCTACATTTTAATTATTGTAAAAGATTTTAAACAAATAAAGAGTTTGTTTAAAATGTGTTATGAATTTTCAATGTACCAAGATATCAATACAAGGTAAGTTATATGGGCAGAAATATAAATTAAGACAGGCAATGAAAATAAAATGCTTAATTGCTGAAGAAAGTAAGTTAAAAATGCAGGTACCTTTTACTTACCAAATTAGCAAAAATTTCAGTTTAATAAAATATCTAAGATTTCAAAGAACAAAGGGTGACAGATGACAAAAATGGACTGATGTTTTGTGAGTATAATTCTCTCACACTTTGTCACAGTTTCTTGTTCTCTAATGCAATGACATTACTTTACAAGCTACAACTCAAGGAAGTAGTTACAAAGAATAAAGCCTTGAATATAAATCTGCTTAGTTCAATGTGGTTTATTCTACAGTCACAGCTCTGTACTGTAAATGTGCTCATATAATTGGGAATTAAGAGAATAGTGTCCATAGAAAGTGTGTTGGTTCAGGAATCAGTTTCCTCAGAATATTTTAAGCCATGACGGTAAGCTTTTTTCCACAGTTAAAGAGAATGCTTTCTCACTCTTATGCAGCACAGGCACTAGGTCCTCCAGAAGACCTAGCTCCTTTCTCCACTCTCAGCTCAGAATTAACACTGACCAAAGCCCATGAAGAATTTATGGCCTACTTCAGATCATCTTGCCTACAAATTGAGTTACTGCTTTGTCCTAAAAATTAGTTGTTTTTCCTCCATAAGGCTTTTCAGAAACTTACAGGATGCCCGTAATTTAAAATGTATACCAGAAAAGATAAAGATGCAAAGAGAAAAAAGAGAGAGAATGCCTTGGGGCCTTACAAAGACCTCTAAAACAAGACAAAATAATTGGACGTAAGTGCTTTCCTAGTGTAAATGAAAGCTGGTTTTAGTGACCTTGAGAAATGTTTTGCTTCTCCATTATTAAGCCATCCAGTGAAGTGCACATTGTGGTTGAAGCAGCTGTGAAAACATTTCCCCTGTGTTTCCTGTACCCTGGTTAAGATAACTTTTATGAAACTGCTTCTTACTGTCAGTGAATCCTTTAGGACCTAAGAGGATCCACCAGTCTGACACTGGGTTCAAATGCAGGTGGAGAATGAATGGTGGTAAGATTTTGTTTTAGGGTTTTAGTCGTACTCTGGTTATAAAACTATAGTTTTAAGTGATTAGCCCCAACACCATGTTTTTCCTTGAACTCTGATATTTCTAGTGTAATTTTGCAGGATATAGGTTTTTATATATGGAAAACATAAAATATATAAATACCCACGATAAAGTAACCTTGGGTACAACATTTTCACAGACTGTAATCCATCTGCTAAAATGATAAGCATAGAAAAATTTCTATAGGACAAGTGCAAAAATTAGAACATAATTAAAATGTAAAACCATTTTTACATATATGTAAAAATGTTTAACATATATCTGGCCTATAATAGTTATGGTAGGATTGGTGGGATTGTAGGTAAAATGATTTTAAGACGTGGGTTTTTTTTGTTTGTTTTTAACATTGCAAATTTGGTAAAATAGCGATGTCATTTTAGCAGTTTAAGTTAAATTATTTTTTGACTTTGGTTTTAGAATTCCTGGAAAACTCAAGCAATTTGTGTTTGACTTACATTCTGGAAAACTGCATAGAGAATTCCATCATGGACCTGACCCAACTGATACAGCCCCAGGAGAGGTAAGATTCTTGTTTGTTTTCCAGTGGGAACTCTTCTCTTTCAGATAGTCTCAGAGAGGATCTGGAGCTCTTACATAGGCTTGAGTTTCAACTCTTAAATATCTTTATGAAGAAATTGTGAACAAATTACAAATTGCATGCAAATTATGCTGCTTTTAAATTACTTCTTATAATTTTAGGCCTTCAGAAAAGTTGCAGAATATGCTACCCTAAGATGATCTGAGAATGATCTCTGGAATGTGGCTGTGAAGGTATTAAATGCAGTTAGACTCAGATGAGATCGGGTGCATTTAGGGTAGTATATTCAGACTCAGAAGTAAAAAGTAGGAATTGTGAACAGGTAGATCAGTGAAGAAATCAGTGGATTCTGGCAATTGTTCCTGCCTTCTTCTGGCTGGAAGATCGACCCTGTGTAAAGAAAGTAATGATGTATTATTCTTGCTGGACCATTCTAACAGCCTCCACAGTATTGATAATGCTAAAACTTACACTTTTATGAGGATCCTCATTTGAGATTTAGAATGCTTGACAAATATTTATCAAAATTTTATATTTGCTTTTTTTGTATATATAAATTCTTTTATGTTATATATGTAGAGTCTCAGGGTTAATATATATCTGTAGATGCATAGATAAATTTTTTTAGTCTAAGAATTTAACTGTTTATGCTCTGCAGCTTTTTTTTGCAAGTAATGTCTATGTCCCTGCTTTACTAAATAGCCTTAAGTTTGCATTTTGATATCTTAGGGCATATTCAGATATATATCATGTCTGTTACCATGAAACTAAGACAGGAGATGATATAATATACACTCAAAATCTTCCCTTTTTTTGGTGTACTGGACTTAGTGCCTTGTGCTTGCTAGGTAGCGCTCCACCACTTGAGCTACGCCCCCAGCCCTTTTAGCTTTAGTTGTTTTCAAATAGGGTCTCACAGGGTCAGCCTTGACCATAGTCCTCCTATTTTTGTTTTCCTTGTAGCTGGAAAAATAGGTGTGCACTATCATGCCCAGCTTTTATTGGTTGAGATGGGGTCTCATAAACTTTTTGCCTGGACTGGCCTCCAAACTGTGATCTCTCTCATCTCCCCTTCTGAATAGCTAAGATAACAGTTGTGAGCTACTGAGCCCTGCCTACACGCTCCTGTTTTATATGCCCAGAATTTAAATCCACTGTTTTGTCCAGAGTCCATTTATGAAAGAAAAATTAAAACTGAAGTTTTTCTTTGATCCTTATTTTAAGAGTAAGATTAAGTTCAGAGTCGAGAGTTCTCTTTTAGGAAACTGGTGACATGCTTTTTTCTTGAGAAATGCGATCAGATTTTTCTTTGATAATTATGCAACTATAGAAGGATGCCAACTTACTATTGGCAATAACCCAAAGGTGATTATTTTCCTCAGAAAAGCAGGCCTGCTTGGTATTCTATCAGATAAGAAAAGATGTGGCTTGCCATTACTGTATTATCCTGATTTGTTTCAATTTCTCCATCAGACAATGAATGCCTTGTATTTTATTTATTCATATTTGTGTACTAATAACCCCTGGGCACCAAATACTGTAAATGTTTGTTTTATAGTAACATAATTTCAGCTTAATTAACCCAAACATGTATCTTAGCAAAAACATATTAAAAAATTTCAGGAAAGCAGAACATGACAAAGTCAAATGGTAAGCTTGTGGACACATCGCTTTCTGTTTCAATGGGAACATGCTAATGTACGTAGTATGTAGCACACACCCTGTGTGCCGTGTTCTTTATAGGGGTATTAAAGTAGTGACACTGGATCTGCTTTTGAGGAGTTCACAGTATATAGATAAAGAACAGGCAAAATCAAGCAAGGATAGACAACACTCCCTTTTCCTTAGAATGCGTGGAAGTCACTATAGTTCCACCATGTATTTTTGTGTAGTGTTGATACATTAAGTAAAAAATATTACACACATTAACGTCTCTCGATATTGTGTTTTTCTTCCTCATTTCAGCTAGGTTTTAATAATTTCTGGCAGGTAATTGATCAATAACAACCATATCAACAGAGTAGGTGCTTTTCATTCTCTAAGCAACTATTCGTAAGAATAAAGGGTTTGGGCAAAACTAGGGTTGTGCTGCCTCAACGGCATTTTCTAGGAATACACTTGGGTGTCCAGTTTTGTGTTTCCTCCACACCTCAGAAAACTGCTACAGTCCCAAGGTCAATGGCCCTGCAGCAACCCTGCCCTGGACAGTCTAAGTAAGGGAATTTGAAATGAGGAAAGCAAGATTTAAACAATGCTGTGTTGGCACATGATTACTATCTTTTACGGATTAATAAGCAAATAATTATAAGGCAACTACCATTGATGTAAGATTCTTATTAAAGTATTATAACTCCATAAAATATATTGGTGCAAAGATGCTTTATTCTTTCTTTTGTAGCAAGAGCAAGATGTACCAAGCAGTCCTCCAGAGAGCTCCTTCCAGAAACTAGCACCCAGCGAATATAGGTACACTTTATTGAGGGATCGAGATGAGCTTTAAAAACTTGAAAAACAGTTTGCAAGCCTTCCAACAGCAGCATCGACTTTACGTGGTGGAAATAGTAAACCTATATTTTCATAATTCTATGTGTATTTTTATTTTGAATAAACTGAAAGAAGTTTTGGGTTTTTAATTTTTCCCCCCCGACTCAAAATGCATTGTCATTTAATATAGCCTCTTTTAAAAAATCTGCCAAGGTTGAAAAAAATAAAAACCAGAGGCCCATCTTCTCTTTAAATCTGTCCTGTACAAATTTTATAAGTCAAGTGAAAGATGACATTGCCAGAAACAGACCATGAACTTGCACTACTAGGGTAGGGAGAACTTAGGGATGTTTCCTGTGTAATATGTGCTTTTCTTTCTTTTCTTCTCATATGATCTTCTCATATGGTATTTTCATTATCACATTTCTGAAAGCTAAGGGGATATATATTCTGGATACTTGGGAGGGGAATAAATTAAAATTTTCACACTGTGCACTGTCTTTTACTGATTGGTTGAGTATTACTTATGAAAACTCCATAGTGGTATTTTTTGGATTCTTAACATATAACTTAAACATACTATGAAGAGGAGGAGAGCCATAAGCCAGAACATTTGGCAGAAATGTCCTTATGAATTAAAAGGAAAATGAAGAGTATTACTAAATTTCTATGTGTTTGTCTAAGAAAGTGGCATATGGATGGTATTTAAAACCGAATGAATTAGACCTAAAGTGGTGGAGCAGTTTACTAGTGTTCAACTGAATAGCTTTTAAGGCTCCTCCCATCATGAGACTTCAGTTTCCAAAGAAAAAAACCAGCAGAGAAACTGTAGTTCAGTAATTAAAAACCTCCTTCTAGCTTATAGAGTCATTATAGTTATATAGATCAAAAATAAAGACAGTAAGGAGCATACATATTTAATTTTTTGCCATTGTAAAATTGTTAGAGGACCTTCCCCCTCTAGCTTCCCTGCTTTGCCAGGCCAGCAGTGTATAGTCAGGTGGTCCCTGTGCCAGGCCTAAATACTGCCAGGGAATAAAAGCAGAGGGAGACGACTCTCAGTGTCATATCAGGAATCCCAATGCCAGAGGACAGACAGGTTCAAAATTGGCTTTCCTCTGGGTCTGGGCTGGTGCTATAGGCTAAGGGTCATTTTATACTTGGGGAATAGTCAATCCCAGTTTGGGGAAATATTATTTTTGAGCTTAAAATGTTGACGTGCCATTATATGTAGTATGTAATATATGTAACATCCAATCCTTTTAAAATACAATAAATATTTATAATGGATATTTAATAATTATTATTTTTAAAAATCAGCCTACAATTCTTAGTTATGCATGATTTATCAACAGTCTCCATAGTTTTATTGAGAATAAATAATGTTAGCAAGGTGATAAGGGCATGTTTAGAATATTTTACTGGGTTATGATGAGAAAAGTAGGACAGAGCTTTTTAGAAGTTGGGCCTTCTGTGCTCTTTATTGCTTTTAATCAGTAACTTAAATGAAGTCAGTGTTGTGGTCTCCAGGTCAGAAAGTGGACCAAATCTGAAAAGGTCGGGATGAAAATTCACAAATATTTAACAAGCTAACACTAAAGACCAAAAGCAGCACATGCAATTAACTGTAATAAATTTTTAATCTCATAATGAGCCTTGACAAAATTATAAAAGTTATTACTCAAATATTGGGTTATAGAGAGCTGGCTTGTGAGTAGTTATCAGGAAAAAGGCTTCAAGGAACACAAGCTCAATGTGATACAAGATAACAAAGTGGTTGCTTGAAAAGTGAGTGGACTTGAGGGTGCATTCTTTAACATTCATATACATTGGTACTTAGACGTTAGTCCTGCCCTGTCATGATCTTCTCTAAACTATGAAGCCGTTGAGGACAGGATACCAAATTTTTTGTATCTCTAGTGCCTACCACTTTTGGACACTTAAGTAATCCTCATCAAGTGTTTATTGAATGAATGAGAAGCAAAGTGACCTTGAATTTTTTACCCCCTGAGGGTGCTCAGCACATGTGCATCGGGACTTGGTGCCCAGTTTTATAAAAAGTCATTAACAAGCTCAAGTGTAGTCCGTGGAATGACAGCGTAGAGGACAGCTAAGAGGTTTTAAAGAGAGGCTGATTGGCTTGGAGAAGACTGGGGTCTGAAAGCCGTCTAGGTAGTCAATGGGTTGGCATTGTCTGGATCCCAGGAATCGAACTAGAACTGAAGGAAGTCAGAGTGAAATAGTTCAGTCAACATTTACTGAAGCCAGATTTTTAGTGCTATAATACGGGATGGAGGATACACGGATGAATAAAGCATAATTTCTGCCCTAGAGTTGCGTATAGTCTTACTAGGAAGATGGATATAGAAACAGTAACAGGTGTTTCAGATGTATAAGTAGAAGAAAATAGAGATTAATGTGACTGGCATAAAGGATCACTGAGTTCCAAAGATTTCATTGAGGAGATTGTTTCATTTGTGTTGTTAAAAGATGAATAGGTGTTCTTCAGGAAGTGGGGATCTGGGTGGATGGAATAGTCAACAAAGGTATGAAATGGGATCATGCACTAAAGAAAGTAAGACATTCTTGTAGCAGGGCTAGCACACTGGAGGTTGGAAGAAATGAGAAAGGAGGTCAGAGAAAAAAATGGAGCTGGTCACACAAGTAGTTTATATGCCAAACTGCTGTATATTGTACAGGGATCTGTTAACAGATCTTCAGTTGGGAAGCACGTTCATTTTCGGTTTGAGAAAGAAGACTGTGGAAGCAAATCCCAACTTAGACTTCCCTCTGAACCTGACTCAGAGAACCGTATGGTAGAAGTATCAGCTTTTCCACTCTATCCCAGGCCGCAGGCTCCCCAGCTGTGGCTGCAGAGGATGGTAGACTCTACTGAAGGACATGCTTCAGTAGCAAAACCAGAAGCTTTCCTTTCTGCCTCTCTGCCCATTCCCTCTTCCAGTTTTTCAACATTTTTCCAGTCATGAGAGGGACCATAAAAAAGATGAAACTTTTTCTTTTTTTCAAAAAAATTTAAAGTTAAAGGAATGTAGTAGAACATAGCAAATAGGCCTCAAAAAATAAAAGTGTCTCGTAGAGCATACTGATGAAGTCAGGCTGTCAGAGATCAAGTGCAAAAGAAAGGAGCTGGTGTGATAACAGCTGCAAAAAGGACTGTGAAACATAAAAGTTTGAAACGGTAAAGCTCCTAATGAACTTAAATTTATAGCAAAGCAAAAGTTGCCAAGAAAGCTTTAAAAAAAAAAAAACCAAACTGGTCAAGGCAAAAAGAAAAATGAGTAAAGTAAATGGATTGACAGAAAAAGCAGAATAACTCAATTTTTATTTTTCATTTGACAAATAGATATGGTCTGGTTGGGCAAAAAATAAAATGATACAAAATTGCAAAATGAAAAGCTAAAAAAAAAACTTGCTACTTTAAATTATTTCAGTGCTGTTAAGCCTACATTTCTGTATCCTAGAGAGCTACTGGGAAGTTGCAAATGCTTTCTGTTCACAATGTTTGGGGAGTTTTGAGAAACCATGGAGAATATAAGGTGACAGAAGACTGGAAATGAGCAAATAGTATTCTGGTTTTCAAAATAATTATAGTTAATGATTTTAGCTACTTTTCCAAAATAAAATTCCATGAACCAAACAAATGTTAGTAGTCTGTGTTTGGGGGAAGAGTTAAATAGGCATAAAAAACAAAACACCAGTTTTTAAACCCAATATTTAAAGACCCTGAAGGCACTAAGTTGTTTCAGAACTTAAGTTGTTTAATCTGATTATAAGTGATTTATGTGTTCATTGAAACAGGTTGGATAGGACCTTTGCTTAGCAACTGTTTTTTAGCTGTGTTTGAATTTTTGTATGTATTTCTGAGTAATAAAACTATATTTATAAAAATTTATATATTTGAGACTTTTTCTTAATTCAGTGTCATAAATATGTATTATGAACATTTTACTCAGAACAGATGACCACAGTCACTAGCTTTTCTGGGTTTAAAGTTATTTTCCACATCTTTTAGTTGCACTAGACTTGGAGTGGGAAACAGTCCATGTGCTGATAACTCAAAGCCAGGCTTTCCTTGAAGCACCAAAGTTCCCTCTTGAAGAACACAGCAGGAAAGACTGGCCTGCCCAAAGACAAGGGGCTTTGAATTCTGGAAGAGGAAAAGTGCAGCTTACAAATGACTTCTCACAAGTACCCTTTCCCATTCTTCCTATTCATCTTTCAGTGCTTAGAAAAACCACCAGCCCTGTGCCCCCAGGACCCCAAATGTGCTTTCAATAGTTAAGAGTTTCCTTATCAGCATGTGTGCAGATTATAAAGAAAACAGGGAACTCGATCTTTGCATTCCCAGCAGCTTGGTACACGGAAGTGTTCAGGAAATCTGATGAAAAAAAAAAGCCAAATTATGCTAAGTAAGTGAACAAATGAATTAAACACAAGAAACTACCACCATCACTGGAGTATACCAGCTAATATGCAAATCTTACCTACCTGATGATTTTGTCAATCACAAACATGTTTGGGTAAATCCAGAATCCAGTCACCTTTTATCCTATCTGCTAAACTGGCTTTGGGGGTCTCAAGAATTCTTTTGTAGAATAGTCTTAGAGTGCATACCAACCCAAAGAGACAACTATCAGAATGACCCTCAGGTGTTCTCTTGGGCAATGCAGAGTCCAGTGAAGTGCTGGAAATTTTCTCATGAACTTTGCACATTATCTGTAAAGTAACTCTAACCCCTACTTTAGTCATTCTCATGGAAAGACAGACTACAGTGTGTTGATAAAAATGCCATGCGTGCTTTTCAAAAACACCATACATACATACTTACCATTGAGTAAGTATGAACTGTTACCAGGCTAAAGATTCAGCAATTAACAAGAGACTGCCCTATCATTGTAGAGAAAAAGTTGAATGAAGGAGCAAAACAGGTGAGTAAAAAGATGGTCATAGTAGAATGTACGTGTTGTGGTGCGGGTTAGCTACATGGAGCAAGGGAGCATGAAGGTGTGTTCAACCTTGAAAATCAGGACCCTGCCTAGAGGAAGGGGTTTCTTGACCAGGAACAGAAAGAGCTCCATCCGCAAGGTGCCAGTGGCTCACGCCTGTAATCCTAGCTACTCAGGAGGCAAAGATCAGGAGGATCACAGTTTGAAGCCAGCCTGGGCAAATAGTTTGTGAGACCCTATCTTGAAAAAACCATTACAAAAGTAGATCTGGTCCTTCTACCTATATAAGACTTCTCTCCCTAGGAGAGAACTGTTATTGGAGGCTGCTACTATGTTTCTTTCCATAGTAGTAAATCTCCCAACTTGGCCACCCATAAATGATGACATTCTTGCCTCTCAGGTGTCGTGTGTATTAGGATGACTGCAAGGGAGAAAGCTCTAGGCCCTCCCTTGGCACAGGTAAACTTGCACAGGTAGGGTTAGATCCATTTAGGAAACCTAAACTACTGACTGCCCAGGAAGCAGGATTAAAACATGGCATTCCTAACTACACACAGGTTAACAGAGGAGGGCATCAACTCTGGCTTCATCATGAGCCTAGTTTTCTAATTTAAAACTCCATCTCACAGTCCATATCAGAATTCTGTAGGATCCAAAGGAAAAATTCCTGCTTTATGGCTTCTAGAATCTAACTTTATCCCTTAAATGTTAGACTTTTGTCCAGGCTCTGTGCTGGCACATTTCTATCTTTTGGTTCATTTATAGTCACACACGAATTCCCACCAACCTTGGTTGGCATATTTTTAACTCAAGTCTAGAAGTAAATTCTTTTAAAACACACTTTTATTGTCCACCCTTTCATTGCCCTTATAACTAGGGTGATAGTGTAAATTGTTTTTCATCCAAACTAGAACATTTGAGAGAGTAAAGTAGCATAATTAATTTCACTAGGACAACAGATGTAAATAAGGACTGTCCCAGACAAACTGGGATGTATGATCACCCTATTCCTGACCATATTTTACACATTCTCAGGCTTGGATTTCATTCGTAATAAAAAAAACAAGATTTTCTGCCAAGCACTATCATTATACCCCTATTCAATAACCTTTATAAAATCAAAGAATTTATGTTTTTCTCAAGTCTCCATTTTAGTGGCTTCTAACACTATTTTCACTGTTCTTATAGGTACAGGTTACTTATCCATTAATGCACACTTCCTTTAAACTTTTGGGGAAAATAATTGTAATAGTTATAATAGCCACAAACATTTGTACTGTTAACTGTGGATCAGGAATCATTGTGGGTACTTAGCATAAATTAATTCTTTCAGCCCTGTGATCACCCTGTGAGGCAGGCAAGGCATCAGGGGAGGAGGGTAAGGATGTCCTTACTTAACTGTCCACAGTTAAGTTACAGCAATATTTTATAAACAAGAAAATCAATAGAAGAACTGTGAACAATTAATGCCAAACACTTTGAGAGGCTGTTTGGTGGGATAAGTATCTATCTGAACCTTAGCATTCGAGCCCTTGGTTTGAATCCTGTTAAATACCTACCTCTTAAATTTGGCCTTGCCTTTACCTAATTCCCATCTCTGCTTGCCTGACAGAGCCATTGCACTCCTGCTGCTACACCCTGTTTCATGCTACTCCATACATCTACAAATCCTTCCTGGGTCTCCTAATGCTGCCAGTGCTATGATTAGACAGCAGATAAATTGATCTGAATATTTTCCACATTTCCCCAGTGATTCGAGTCCTGTATCTTCTTTCTTCCAAGTTATGACTTTTAATTGGTAAAAGAGAAATGTCTTCACCTCCAAATTCTGAGATTTTCATGACTTCCAAGTCTTGGATGCTTTCCAGACTTCTTTTGTTGCATCTTTCATCCCTATTAATATAGGAACTAAGCAAAGATTTGATGTATCTTAGAAGGCTATTACACACTAATACATGTTCCCAGAAGACAGTAGAACTTGCAGGCTATGATGTCATCGCTCATCATCTGAGAACCATTCACGGGAGTGTAATTTCCTTTTGTCTTCTCATCACTAATATTCCAGAAAGCAGACAATACAATCCCTGGCCTGAAAAAGCTTACTATCTACTTGGGGAATCATACTACTGCCAAGGAAAAAGTGTTGTCTCTACAGAATTAACCACAAGTGAAAATGGGACCCACTGAATTGCAGTGATCAAGAAACACTCGTGGTTTAGGCTGGAGGTATGGCTCAGGTGGTAAAGTACCTGCCTAGCAACAACAAGGCCCTGAGATCAAACTCTAGTCCAGTTTAAAAAAAAAAATTCTTAGAGCAAGGCACCAGTAGCTCATGCCTGTGAGAGCCCATCTCAACAGGGAAAGCTGGGTGTGGGAGCATGTGCAATTATCCCAGCTTCAGCAGGAAGCGTGAGTTCCAGTCCAGGTTAGAAAGGGCATTAAAGTAAGACCATATCTGAAAAAATAGCCAAAGCAAAAAGGGCTGGAGGCATGGCTCAAGTGGTAGAGCACCTGCCTAGTAATTGTGAGGTCCTGAGTTCAAACCCCAGTACTGCCAAAAAAAGATAGATAGACAGCTGGATTGTGAAGGTCTTGGACACTAAAAGATTTCCAGACTGTTTTCTCAGTGGGTTCCCAATAGTGATGGAATGATAAGTAGAAAGTGGGCATTCGTTACTAAATGGGATCTCACAAAAAGACAGGGAAGCACAGATGGTTGTTTACAGGTGAGAAAGGAGGACAAATACACCAAAAACTCCAGCAAATGTGAGGTTTATTATGAGGAACTCAGAGGGTTGTAAGCAGTCTTCTCTGACACAAAACAAAGCATCAATTCCTTTAAACAAAGAATCATTAAATTTTAAACAGATATTATCACCCTAATCCGTCTTTCCATCTAACCAGGTTCATTGATCAGCTACATTCAATTCCTTGGTTTTCTCTTGTTGATTATTTATTTCCTTGGTTTTCACTATGTTTTTTGTGCTTTGGATCCTTTGGGCATACAATCTCTCTGCCACTTGAAGCCTCCTGCCCCTCTTCAATTAGGCATATCCTTCCTAGGCTCTGCTCAAATACCTTCCTCTGCAAAGTCTTCCCCTTCTTTTCCAAGTAGTTAGTCCCTCCATTCTTTATGGCCTTGTATTACTTTGTTCATTCCTGTTTGTGAATCAAATGCCCTGCTCCAGGCAGGTAGGTTCTTTGATTCATGCAGACTGGAGTCCAAACAGGAGCCAGGAGGAGGTATATATGGTTTATTATCCATTGCGGCCACCAGCCAGCCAGCCAGCCCTCAGCAGCAGCAGCAGCAG